AAAATTTCAGTTCTTAAGGTCTTAGCTTTACTAAACGTTTTACTTGCTTCTATTTTACAGTCATGAAAAATTATGAACAATTTTTAAACTGTCATAAAAAAGCAGAAATTTAAAAATCAACGATATTTATTGCAAAATATAAAAAATATTTAAAGAAAATAAGTTTCAGTGGTTCCTAAAAGAATGGTTTCGTATTAGGGAAATGGATTTCTTGTCATTTTTTGTACAAAACGAAACCTAAATACCGCCTCTTGATCTCATTACACTGCCATACGCCACTAAATTTAGACATGATAATCTGAGAATATATAATCTGACTTGAAATTGAACTTTTTAATTAAAAGTTATGACACTCACAAGCTTTAAACAAAACATTTTTATGCATATCTAATGAAAAGAAGTAGAAATTTTGTGCCCTAATATAGATCTATATATACAAGGTCCGGCTATTAATTTCCAGGACTGACGTAACTGTAGGAGAACGAAAAGCCGGAAGATGGCGCTAATGATTGCATATTGAAGAGTGTTTTCTTGCGCATGTGCAGTGCAATCGGCACCATACTGAAGTAAGTGGTTCTCATAGAAAGGCGCATTAAAACGTAGCTCTTAAATTCCTATTGTCGAAGTGAAAATGGAGCAAGAATAAACATTAAATGTTGCTTCAAATTGGGCAAGACAGCTGCGGAAACCTACAAATGATTAAAACAAGTTTACGGCGAGGAAGCATTATGTCGCTCCGGAACTTTTGAATGTTTTAAACGCTTTCGGGACAGCGCGAAAGCGTGGAAGATGATCCACACACAGATTGGCCGCAGTCGTTACGCACGCCGGAAGAAATTGAAAAAGTTCACTTCCACACATTGCGTTGCCTGTGAGGCGATTCTTAGCCCAGCATGGTGTCGTTGAAATGCAGCATCCACCGTATTCTCCAGACCTAGCACCCGCAGACTGTTTCCTAAGCTGAAAAATTCTCTGAAGGGGACAAGATTTCAAGATGTCGAAGCCATCAAGAAGATTTTAACGTCACTATTAAAGAGCATTCCAAAAGAGGACTTTAAAACTTCTATCCGAAATTTGTACAGCCGAGCACAGACGTGCATTACGGCTGATAGGGGTTACTTCGAATAATATTAAATGGCTATGTGTTTAATTTTATTTTCTTCTGAGTTATTCCATGAGTCCTGGAAATTAATAGCCGGACCTTGTATATATATATATACTCAATTATTGAGGGGTAGCAGCAATCTGGAAAATATTGTATCAGTAGTGTCGGCAGGAATGTTGTCGAAAGTTGGGGCCACTAGATGTTAAAATCACTTTCTGCGTATTTCGCCATAACTCGGAAAGTTTTTAAATAATTTGATAAACGTTTGCATATAATTATAAAATTTGCTCATCCAAAGACAATTCCACGAAAAAAGTCATTTTATTTACACTTTTTATTTTATTTTAAAAGGGTTGAAAAAATATTGAATTTTGAAAATTTGCATTCAAATTTTATAAAATTAAAATCTATGTAATTTTAAATGACGAAATACAAAATTTGAGAGAAAACGGTTGAGTAGTTTCTAAGTTATAAAATTTTCAAAAAGCCATACAATTAAAATTTTATTGAACAGAAATTCCGTTGATTTCGTACAAAATTTGTATTATATCATTACATTGTTTAAATTGACGTAACCTTGCATATTTTAGAATTTAAAATTTTTTCGACCCTTTTTAAATACACTATTAAAAGTTACTTTTGTTTAATATAACTATCTATTGATAAAATAAAATTATATTTTTTCAATTTCTTAAAAAAATTCCTCAAAAACGGTGAATTACGCCGAAAGTGAACTTAAAGTTAAGGGACCGCAATTTCGACAGCAATCAGGAAAATAGCGTCCAGATTGCGGGAACCTCCGTATTTTGATAGTCAAAATTCGTCAAAAAGAAAGTACATTTTTGTGTCTGATTTTGTAACTGAAGTTTTGTCTGCACTGATCTTTTGAGCCTTTATAAGCGGCATTTAATTCGTAAAAATCCAATCTTTAAAACCAAAGTTATTCAGGATGATATTTTTACGCACTATACACGCTTAAAAATCCTCAATAAAAAAAGTGTAGTTTGTAATTTAAGTTTAAAAAATAATAAATAAGCTCATTTTTAACGTAAAATGTAAAAAAAATATCAACTTGGATATGAACAAAAATTAAATATTTTGTAATAAGCGGATCAAGCTTCTCTTGCTTCAAGGTATATATAGACCGACATACCTGTATACAGCTTCCATTAAATAGAACACTTGAATGATTATTTACTATCAAGTGTTGTAATTGTTTTTCTCTAGCTGTAATTATCATTATTCATGTTATTACTCATTACATAAAAATGTCAACTTGGAAAATTTAAGATGTTAACAAAAAATAAATATTTTATATAAATAGCTGAAAGGCAACATTTTGACCACCGAATACAGCTTACAATAAATAAAACACTTGTTTACTATCAAGTGTTATAATTGTTTTTCGCTTGCTGCATTTATTATTATTCATTGTTATTACATATTACATTTAACAACTAGTTTCTCTTCCAGAAAAGGACCGTAGACCGTAGTTTACGCAGATGCAATTATATACATGAGCAAAAATAAATAAATAAAATCGCAAGAGTGTTTGACCGAAACACATATAGACTTTTGTATTCCGTATTATATGTTAAAACATATTTTATCAAAAACATTGGAATAGCTTTAAAAGCGTTCTTTAATAAATGTAATGCTTTACTTTTTAACTGCAAAAACATACAATTGTAATCAAATTTGTTTTCGAAAGTATATATAAAAAAAAGATAACCTTTGTGTAAAATCTACGATATTGTAAAAGTTTAAGTATCGGCACAAAAACAAATTGCATTAGATCGAATACTTTTATTTTTAAATAAGCATATAACTAGCTTTAAGGGATAAGACAACTAAACGGTTTTTTAGTTAAATAGTTTTATATGAGTTAAAAATCAATAACAAGTGGTTTTTTAATGATCTTGAAGCTTTCATTTCTGTAATATAATAGCATTGTTTTTATCCCTTATTGCACGATTAATCTATCATTAAATAATCACGCACATTGTTTTTCTCTCTATAAATACACAACAATATCGATTAAAAAGTGGAAAACCCAAAAATAAAAACTGTCACCATAATTTTACTTAATGGCACACACATTTAAATTATTTCAAGAACGTTTTATATAGATGTGTGCATAAACCATTAAGAGCAAATATCTTAAAAGCAAACATCATACCTATGAACTACAGTCGTGTTTGTGTAAAAACCAACTTTTATTTGTGCAATCAGAAAAAAAATTCACGAATGATAAAATATTTGTTGAAACTGACACGCAGAACGATGGATCTGTCATTCAATTTTCTTTACTTGTTGCTTTTTTAAAAAAATGGATAAAACGTCTGCAAAAGCCTTCAATTGATTCCTTTACATAAAACTATTCATTCATTAAGACTTCAGGCAAAAGTTAAAACTCTTCGTTTTGTTTCGCATTTATCAATTTCGTGACAGTTCGTTTCTTTTCTTTGGAATCTGTCAGTTTCGTATTTAGATTTTGTCCTGGTTTTTCTCTTTTCCAAATAAAGTATTTCATATAACCCTCGGAATTAACTCTGATTATCGTATAGATTAAAAGTATTTAAACAATTTCGGATAAAATAATTCCTTACGAAGAAAAAACTCGTTCATTCTGTGAAGAATGACGAATTTTCCTCAGATTTTTTATTCTCTTTCAGCTTTTAAGAGCTGACTTAACTAAGCGAATCAAGAAGCATTTTTGACTAGAGAATTGACTCAAAAATTTTGACGCAAACGGAAAATTTTTATACTCGTTTCAAGTAGAAGAACATTTCGTCCAAGAATTCGTGAAGAACTGAGAATATTTCTTGCCAACTCAACATCTCTATTATCTGTTATTCTTCAGGAACTGACTTAATTAAAAGAGCCTGAACTGAATTTAAACTAAAAATTTAATGTCAAAATTTTTAGATTAAAACGTTAAATCTTCACCCTCATTTCAAGAAGAATTCCATAAAGATTTCAAATAGAATGGCAGCTTATTTTCCCTCTAAACTTAGAATCTCAGCCCTACCAATTGTCAAAGCCTTAGAAATTAAAAGAATTAACAATATTACCATTATCTCTGGATTTGAAGCAGAATTAATAAATCTATTGTCAAGTAAACTTAATTTCGAATATGAAATTCTTGTTCCCTCAGACTCATCGTACGGTTCAAATGATACATTCGGAAACTGGACTGGAATGATGGGAATGCTCGCAAGGAATGAAGCTGACATGGCATTCTCCTTAATGGGTATCACCGAAGAAAGGTCAACTGTTGTGGACTTCAGCATGCCTTACCTACCTCTCGACAAAACATTTCTGATGCACCATGCTTCATTCTTGCCAAAAACATCAGCATTCACGTATCCTTTCAGCAGGCTTGTATGGTGTTTATTCTTTATCGTACTGCTCTTAGTAACAGTGCTATTTCGAACTTTGATTTCCCCAAGAGATTCTATTTGCTCCGTTTTCATAAATTTGTGGGCATCGTCTTTCGGACAAGGAATGAACTACAACCCTCGTTCAATTTCCAGGCGGATACCACTAGGAATTTGGCTTATATATTCATATCTGATAACTCTGAGTTACAGCTCAGTCCTGTTATCGTTTTTGACATCCCCGATTAGAATGAAGCAAATAAAAGATTTCAAGGAACTCTACGCTGCAGTCAGAGAGGGAAAAATGGAGTGTCGAGCAGCATTACCCACTCTGGAAGCAGAGTATTTGTCAAAAAGCGATATACCCCATCTCAAAGGATTAGGAGAATATATTAAAAAGAATAAATGGTACTACACATCTTATGACAGACAAAGTGTACCAAAACACGCAGCAATGCTTGGGTCACCTTTTCTGTTTCGCTTAGTTTTTGGGTCCCCTCAATCTTACTTTTACTCGAAGGACGCGTTTGGATATTTTCCGTTCGGAGTTGCAATTAGCAAACACTTCTGTTGCAAAAAGCGTTTCAATAAAATAATTCTCCGAATTTTAAGTGGTGGCTTATATAATAAATTCATGAGCGATGTATTCTTTAAATTAGATTTAAAGAAAAATTTAAATGGTGGCGTTTATCAAAGTGCATCAGCATCAGCTTTAGGATTATCAGATTTAAATGGACTGTTCATTATTCTAGGTATAGGCTGGGCATTAGCTGTTTTTACTTTGATACTGGAAATCACCTTCAGTAGATGGTTGTGCTCAAAACCTCTCCAAACCTAAAATACGCGATATGTAAATAACTTTTTGATTATACAACCTTCACTATCACCTTTTTCCAAGGACATTATTATTATTTGATATAGTCAGATGTTCTACTATATCGTTCAGTGAGTTTTCACTCCATGACCAGATTTCCGTGTTATAACTATTTAGATGAGTTAACACCATATTGGTGGCAAGGACAGATAGAACAGAGAGATAAGTTACACCCAAACTCGAAGTGGGATTGGGATCCCGAGTCTCCAGGGTACGAGGCCAACTCCTTAACCGCCATACAGTTGGTCAGCTTAATTCGTCAGGTAAATTGTCTAGTCTTTATTCTAGGCTCATCATTCTATTTAACGATCTCTTACCATGCATTACGAACAAGTTTCGTCATATATTTGAGAGATCGCATTTCATCACAAATCACGTGATTTGGTGACGAAATGATTCTCTAAATTAAGGAAATACTGCTCTAGGATTGCTGAATCCTTAAAAGTGAGAGCTTTTTTTCTTAGAGTGTATACTTTTTATTCTACCTTTTTATTCCAACTTAGTGTTATAGCATAGATGCGTTTTACAATCACATAATCAAAATATATTTAAGCACTTATTGACGCTTTAAATTTACCTCTTGTATTCGCGAATATTAAAATACTATATTTAAAAAATATATATTTTTTAATATCCTAATGTTTTTGACAAAGTGTTTGATTTGTCAAAAGCATTAAGTAAGTTGTTTATATTGTTTATATTACGAACGTCGAAATTACGAACTAGATGCAACAGAGCAGATTTAGCTGTTATTATTGTCTAGATGCATCTATTGTTATTACTCTAATAATTATTGTTTTTTTTTTTTTTAAATATCTCGCATATCACCTACCAAAACTCTTGTTGCGCACGTGTGTAACTTGCTACTAGATTTATGAATGTTGATATAACTTATGAATGTATATTTATGAATGTTGATATAGCTTGATTTTTGTAGGAGTGAAATTAAAAGAGATTGGAAAAAAAATTTTATAAGATACTTTTTGTCAGTTTTATTTATAGGCATTTTTTTTAAANTTTTTTTTTTATTTTAGATGTTTTTATTTAGCCCACCAAAAATTTTTTTCTTCGATTTTTGGCCCTCGACCAGAAAAGTTTGCCCATCCATTGTCTAGATGCATCTATTGTTATTACTCTAATAATTATTGTTTTTTTTTGTTTTGTTTTTTAATATCTCGCATATCACCTACCGAAATTCTTGTTGCGCACGTGTGTAACTTCAATTCGATTGAATTGAAGTTACACACGTGCTACTAGATTTATGAATGTTGATATAACTTATGAATGTAGATTTATGACTGTTGATATAACTTATGAATGTAGATTTATGAATGTTGATATAACTTATGAATGTAGATTTATGAATGTTGATATAACTTATGAATGTTGATATAACTTGATTTTTGTAGGCGTGAAATTAAAAGAGATTGGAAATTTTTTTTATAAGATACTTTTTGTCAGTTTTATTTAAAGGCATTTTTTTTTATTTCGATTATTAATTTCTTAAATGTTCCTACTACTTTCTTTATTATATAGATTCAATTAAATAGATTAATTTCTCAAAAATAGATTAATAAAATATATTTTTAATAGTATTGATAGAAAAAATATATAGGCGCAAAGTAATAGTATTTTTTTTATACAAAATACATGCATCTTTACACCGAAGTTACTGAAATTGTTAAGGATTTTATTGTGTTTTCTTTTCTTCTTATAAACAAGAAATGAAACTTTAGAATATCGCTCTAAACATTTAGATGCGAATGAAAAGTTTACACAAACCAAAAATATATGAAAGTAAAAAAAAAAAAAAAATTCAATTTAGCAGGTTTTAGCATAAAATTTACCCAAGTTATCCTAAATTAGTTACTGTCTGTTATTTTAGCTTTCAAAGACATTCAAAGTTACATCTTTGGACAGATAAATACGAAAGAATACAGATAAAAAAAATTGCAGATAAGAAACACGTCTGAAATATTCCTGGAATTCTAACATTTTTCATGAATACAGAATCAACGATGGGTGGAACTGCCATTTTCAAAGCAACTATCAATCCTGAACTGACATTGTATGTGAAATCAATGTTCGATTGAAATGTGTTATACTGGGTACACCCCTTCCTGAATCTCTCTCTCTCTCTCTCTATTTCTTTATTTAGTTGCACAGGTAGTATGGAAACAATGTGTTAAACAGTAAAGACAATTTTAAAAGTGATAGACTATAACCTAAATAAAGTTGACACAAAGAATACAGGTTTTCAATCATTTATAGTTGTATTACTCAGCAACAAATTGTCTTTATAAAATTTTAATTTAGTGACTCTCGGAGGATAATTTTCTTTTTTCTGTATAAACCTAGAGCTATAGAACTTTTTTCAAGTAACATCATCGTTATCGAACTGACAAATACTTTTTGAATATATAGATAATACAGGTAGTTATCAAAATAATGGAAACACCCTAGATTTTGAAGGCTATGGAATTGCTGTTCTGCCGTAAATGTTCTCTTTATGAAGGTTTCTCCTAACTGTAATTGTTGACACTGGAGAATCCAGATGCTGATTGAGCTCTGCGGTCACTTTGGCTGCAGTTGTTTTCTTTTTAGACATTACAATCCGCTTCAATACCCGTCGGTCTCTTTCACTCAGCTTCTCCTTCTATTTTGCTTTGCTGAGCTTGTCTTTCCGCGCTGTGTGTATTCTGTCATGACTTTAGACACCGCCTAAAAGCTGGGATGTTTCGGTCACTGTTGCTCCAACTGGTCGTGCTCCTACGATTTGGCCTCTCTGAAAATCTGTGAGGTCTGACATTTTGCGCTTCTGACAAAAAATCAAAACGTAGACAACTCTGCTAAAGCTTTAATGTTGTGGATTTTGATGTGGTACCTGCCTTTCGGCACTTGACACTTCATCTTAATTTGTTTGCGTTTGCAACGAAAGAGTGAGTCGTAATATAGCGACACGATTGATCGAATAATAGCACATAAATAAAAACAAAATTACAATAATACAGTTATTACAAAAATACAGTTATCTGCTAAAGCTTCTCTTATGCCACCTAATATATGTACTTTTTATATTAAAAAAAACTGGTAGCTAAGATTATATTTTAATGCTTATGAAGCGAATTCTTAAATGTCCCTTTTATTCACAAGTGTTTCCATTATTTTGATAATCACCTGTATAT